CTCACACACCCTTTCGCAGTAAAATCTGCACCATGAGCACCTTTCACCCTGCCGAGCTGTGACCCCAGAAGCGTGACCCCAGAACGCATGTGAAGGTCCCACAGCTGGTTCTCCCTGATATCTCAGGGGACAAACACTGATGCTGCCTCTTTTCATCAAAATAGAAATGGAGGGGCACGGCCGAAATGAACAGCTTGAACTCAAACCCAGTTAAACCTAGAATTCCGCTCCTCACCCTCAACCCCACACGAACTTGACACTACACATTTTTTGCCTGGCAAGTAGCTATGGATGTTAGGGTGGCCAGTCTACTAAAGCAACACTGGGCTAAGAGCAGCTTAACGCAGCCGTTTTTTTTTTTTTGGTTTTTTTTTTATTAGTACGTTAGTTATAGCTTTTTTTTTTTTTTTTTTTTTTTTTGGTACTGGGAATTGAACTCGGGACCTTGCGCTTGCCAAGCAGGCACTTATGCCACTGAGCTATATCCCCGGCCCTTATTAGTGCACATTTTCAGTACATAATGAATCATTTCAACATGGGGATTTGTTCATGTACACAGCACACCTTAATTCTTTGTGTCTCCTTCCCCTCCTCTTCCTCCAGCCTTTCTCCTCTCCCCATTTACAAGAGCTGTCCAACCCAGGCGTGATGGCACACACCTGTAATCCCAGCACTCAGGACGCTGAGGCAGGAGGATCGTTGCAAGTTCAAGACCAGCCTGGGCTACAAAGTTAGCTCAAGGCCAGCCTGAACTGCATAGCAAGACCCTATCTCAAAAAGACAGAAAATAAAAAAAAATTTAAAAACACAAAAGCTGTCCTTTCTCTTTTTTCCTTCAATTCTTTTTTTCTTTATATACCTTTTCCCTTCCTCCTTCTCCCCTCCCATCTCTTGTCCCCCTTCCCATTTGAAAAAGTTCTTCCTACTTATTCATATCTATCCTCCATTCTGCTCCTTAATTATGTTTCTCAGAAACAATATGATATTTAACGTTGCATGTCTGACCTATTTCACTTAAGATTATGATGGTCTTGGGTGGGGATGTAGCTCAGTGGCACAAGCGCCTGCCTGGCAAGTGCAAGGTCCTGAGTTTGATTCCCGGTACAAAAACAAAAAAAAAGAATATGGTCTCAAGCTGCAGCCATTTACCTACAAATGTCTCAAGTTTATCCTTCTTTATTTACGGCAGAGTACTGCATTCTATTCATCCATGTTTTTCATGTCCTTATTGGCTGTTTCTACTTCACTTGAGAAGTGTCTGTCCATTTCACTTGCCCATTTTTTGACTGGGTGTTTAAATTTGAGGGGTCTAATTTTTTTTAAGTTCTTTTATATTCTAGGTATTAGATTAGTCCTCTGAGTAGAAGGCAAAAAATGTTTCCCATGCGGTAGGCTGTCTCTTCACTCTTTTGGTGGTTCCCTTTGCTTTGCAGAAGCTTTTACATTTGACACGATCCCATTTGTTGGTTCTTTGTAATAGTTCCTGTGCAACCAGTATTTTGTTCCTAAACTCTTTAAGGCCGCAACTTTCAAAGTGCCAACTTGAAAAATATTTCATAGACTCTGGCTACGAATTCTGGTAAAGAATGGGAAGTAGATCCAACTGCATCCCATTTAAGAATAAATTCCTTTTTTTTTTTTTTTCTTCCAGTAGCAGGAATTGAACTCACGACCTTACACTTGCCAGGCAGGCGCTGTGCCACTGAGCTAAATCCCCAGCTCAAGAATAAATTCTGAATCTTGTGTCATTTCTTATAAATATACGTGTGTGTCTGAGTTTCTCGCTGTAAGGATACAGTCCAAAAGGGTTAGAAAGCTACTGACTTAAAGACTGGGTCCTTCTAGATTTGATTTGACGTTTAGACCCGAGGTTTAATTCCTCAGATTTGAAAAGTAATGCTGGAAATAAACCAAAGCTCTGCCAAAAACTGTGCGGAGTAGGCAGCACTGGAGCAAAGGGCTGGGGCCTCGCGTGCCAGGGACGCACCACCACCAGGAGCAGCAACAAAGGCCAGACCAGCCTCGGCCCGGAAGCGGGTACAAGGGCAAAACCCAGGGCTGCTCGGGCCCGGATGGAGGCAGAAGGCTCTGGCCCCGCCTCCTCCCATCTGCACCCCCAGCCTTGCTTCTGGGCACTCCCCTAGGGTTGCTGGCACCAACACAGAAGAATCTTCACTCTGGCCGGTCTCTATCAGTTTAGGAGCCCCTCATCTTTGCCGCCACACTCCCTAACTCACACCGCCAGCTCACAGAACATGACCTTAAAAACCACGATGTCAGTCACTTGACAGCTCACGCCCTCATGTTCATTCGCTGAGTTCCACTTTCCTTTCTCTCTCCAGAAATAACCCCTATCGGCTATCTGGTGGACTCGTTCAGCACCTAGCCTAATAACTTTAGGGTGTGTCTGTATGCACATGCCATAGGCAATGTATAGTGCTGCTCTGAGGGATTTTAAACATTTACATTTAACTACTACAGTCAACTACATATCCTCCCCCAACTATTCATTCACAATTTTTTGAATGAGCATATGTACATATAGATACATATGTACATATAGATACATACGTACATATGGGTACATATGTACATATGCTCATCCTTTGGGGGAGATTGTTTTTGTTTTTTTTGTGTTTGCTTTTGAGATAGGGTCTCGCTATGTAGTCCGGGCTGGCCTTGAACTCACTTTGTAGCCCAAACTGGTCTTGAATTCCCAGCAATCCTCCTGCCTCAGCCTCAGGCATGTGCCACTATGCCAGGCTTATATGCTCATTTTTGTAACATGCTGTGATTTTCCACCACATGACTATACCACACATATTTCCAGTATGCTGCCATTATAAGTAACACTGCTATGAACATTACTGGGCATGTCTCCTTCGATACACATGGGAGTTTTTCAGAGTGTAGAGTTAGAATTGCCAAGATGTCCCACACATAACCTCTCCTATAACCAGCTCAACAAATTCTTCACCTGCCTATAACATGAGCAAAACCACAAGGCTCATATCACCTCAAAATACTTTAGCTGAGCATTTGCTTTGTGCTCCAACGCCAAGCACACAGGCCCACACATGCACAAACACATCAACATGTTAAGTGTGGTCTTGATGCCTCAATTTGGGCTAATAGAAGTTTGACTTATGGCTTAACCTGTCATTAGCTGCAAGATTTTGGGCAAGCTTTTGTACCATCCAAGCCTCAAATTCCTCACCTGAAAAACGTGGATAAAATTTGTACCGACTTCATAGTTTTGTGAAAAGTAAAAGAGTTAACACATGTAGGTTCTCAGGATAGTTCTTAGCCCATAACCTGTCTTTGGATAATATTTATGGCACTTAGTGTGAGTGTTGGGTAAAATAAGGATGTCTAGCCGGGCGTAGTGGCACACACCTGTAACCCCAGCACTCAGGAGGCTGAGGCAGGAGGATCATTGCAAGTTCAAGACCAGCCTGGGCTACAAAGTAAGCTCAAGGCCAGCCTGAACTGCATAGGGAGACCCTGTCTCAAAAAGACCGGAAAAAAAGAAAGAAAGAAAGAAAAAATAGAAGCTGGTGTGGCTTCCCTCTGAAAGTAAATGTGCCGATCTAGAAGGCCCAAGAGAAAGAATTCCCAGGCAACCCCACTCAAGGGAGTCTTTGCAGAATAATCCTGAACAAGATCACACTGAGCCCAGGCTATGTCCCAAGGTTTCAGCAAACACACACTCTTGTTAAGAACTATGCAAAGTCTTGTTAGACAAACCAGGCCCCTAGGGACTTCTAGGATGGTGAACCTGAAGGACACCTGCGACAGAAATGGACACGTAGCATGGAAACAAACCCTCTCCTGCACCCCCCAGCAGCCGTGCCTCTCTGCAGAAACCTCACCTCACCAGCGGGTTCTTGGGGGTCTCCCCTCCTTAGGTCCCTCTGCGGCCCTCACAGCGGCCCCTTGGGCCCGCTCTCCTGTCCTTGAGATTCGGGCCCCCCTGAACCCCAACCTTCATGAGCCTCACTGTGTCAGCACTAAAATGGGGCGGGGTCGCTGTGAGGCGTCATTCGAACAAGTCATGTGAAAGCACCGACACAGCCCCGTTCTGCCCCCTTTGCTAGGAAGGTGCCATCCTGCCAGCCCCACTCCCCATCCCAGCATCCCCTGTGACTCTGCTCCTCCCGGCCTGACACACCCTGCAGCACGGACCGCGCCTGTGCCGGCCCGGCCCCCGCCTCTCTCATCGCACAGTCGCGGCTGCCGCGATACCAAGCGGGCGGCTGTGCTTGCACCTCAAGCTTCCACTGATCCCCGGTGCCTCCTGAGGAGTTCCACATCTTGGGCTGGCACGCAAGGCCTTCTGGGAACCCCCCTTACCCAGCTTTCCAATTGTAGTGGCCACCCTTGAGAAAATCACTTGCTGGGTGGCACACCCGGAAGACAGTATCCAAATAGGGGATTAAACAAAGCTTAGCAGGTTCTTATTGCAGAACTTCAGAGCCCTTAATACCTTAATGTGCGCTGATTCTTCACATTTTCCCCAGTTCACACTTCTAGTACTTTTTTCAAGTTGACGAAACAGGCGAGGGAAAAGTTTCCCAATACGCCTACAGAATGTGCGAGTGAGGGCACATGCACAGGCCCAAGGGCTGTGACGACCAAGGCATGCTTGCTGTGGCCCATCATCCCTGCTGTGGGGAGTCTCTGGGGGACTATAAAACCCACGTGGAGCCAGCAAGCTTTGCTCAGCACACGGATGAAAAGTAAATGGCTGTCAGCAGTGCCCTGTGAGGGCTTGCAAAGATGCTTCAACCTCGCACGCGGAGGCTGCCAGCTCCCCAGTCTCCGGCCCACCCACCCTTCCATGCTGTCCCTGTTTGTCCACATCAGCCAGGGTTCATTCTGAGGCTGAACCAAGCAAGGAACCTTCACTGACACATAGGCCTTTGGGTCCCTGAGCAAAGCCAACCAAATCGCCCCTCAGTCAAGGAACAGTGAGAGGCAGCCAGCCCCAGGAACAGTACCTGTCCCATCCGGGGTAGACCTCACAAAGGTGGGCAGCATCTTCACAGAAGCAGTGGGGTGGGTGGTAGCTCCAAGCCCTTTTTCCATCTCCTTGCGGAACCGCTTAGAAATGTCCAGAAGGGTCTCATCAGAGAGACGCATGTGGTAGAGGTATTGGTCAACCTAAAAGACAAGAAACCGAAAATGGAGACCAATGGGTTAAATTTATTAGAGTATAGTTTTTTTTGTGTGTCGTCACGCAACCCTTCAAGAGGCAACATCTGTCATGGACAGAAGATGATTATTAGACTATTAGCAGAAATCAATTTGACAAGCCTTTGTTTTGGAGACACACCAGCAACCCTTCTCAGTATCCTTGGAAGCTCCCACAGTCATCACCACCATCATCATCATCATACTCTTAGATTTCCCCAGCACTTTTCTCAGGTCCTCTTGATTTTTTTTTTTTTTTCTACACTGTATTGAGGATTGATCTAGTAGTGCTTTACCATAGAGCTACACATCCATTTTTTAAATTTTTATTTTCATATAGAGGCTTATGAAATTGCCCATGCTGGCTTCAAACTTGTAATCCTCCTACCTCAGCCTCCAAGTAGCTAGAATTACAGACATGGGCCACCATGCCTGGCTTAAATTTTTTTTTTTTTTATCTTTTTGAGACAGGTTCTTGCTATGCAGTTCAGGCTGGCCTTGAGCTCACTTTGTAGCCTAGGCTGCCTCGAACTCACAGTGATCCTCCTGCCTCAGCCTCCTGAGTGCTGGGATTACAAGTGTGTGCTACCTCACCTGGCGGGCTTGAATACTTTTAACAGAACTTGTACCTTAGGATTTCCAAAGCAGCAAAAGGTATTTAATCCTCTGACAAACTTAGTGTAATGCTTTGTGACAAAAAAGCGAAAGACAGTAAAGTCCCCTTACTCATTTCTCCCTTGCAGACTGTATCTTAACTCACCATGAGCTCGAGCAAACCCTTCCCTTTAGGATTGATGCTGCCCCTACAGAATAATGGACTGGCCCTCAGATTTCTCACAAGTGCTCACCAATCCCGATTCTTTATCATTCCTCCAAGATTCCAAACATGGGAAAACCAGAGTCTGAGGTAAAACAATGAAAGCAGCTCTGAGCAGGAGGACAGAGAATACACAGTGTGCCAGCCACCCTCTCCATGACTGCGAATGTACAAACAAGGGTCACAGGTGCGAGGCTTGCACGGCTAGGGAAGGATAGAGTAGGAATGGACAAGTAGCTTCTTCCCCTCAGCAGGCGTCAGCCTCTTCTCTGTTCCTTCCCCAGCCCAGAGAGAGACCTGTCTATTCTGTTGGGTTTGGGACTGCATAAATGAGGATTTCCCAGAAGTCTCTTGTTGCCATCACATATGAGAAAGCGCTCTTGGACTACTGGAGTCCATCGGTCTCAATCAGGGAGAACCCAACTGTCTTTCTGTTTCATTTCAGGCTCCTGGTATCTCACTCGCCTTGTGCTCACTAACCCTCCAAATCTACCTCAGCCTCCCAGGGGTATGAGGCACCAACCACCCACCTCTGCCCCCAGGCCTAGTTACTTCCTAAATACTAAATACTAGTGTGCTTCCTAAATACTAGGGTGCACAAATGTATAAGTCTTACACCACCCGGGGATCAGAGGCCCATACCAGGCCATAGCCAGGACCAGCCTGGACGCCATACTAACACAAGTCCTTCCATGGCACCTGCTTTGTGCCAGCTCTACAGCTTTGCACCCATTAACTCATTCGCTTCACAGGTGGTATGTTAACACCTCTATTCCAGAGAAAGGGAAGGTAATGTGCCAGTCACAGAGATAGGAACAATCAAGCTGGGGCAGCACAGGGCGGTCTGGCTGGCCTATGTCCTTGCGTGCTCTGCTAGCTGACTGCCCCACTACTGCTCGATTACAGTAGATTCATATAGGACAAACAGCACTGCAGCTGACCAAGCTGGGCACACCCCTTAAAGATCACCTTCAGTCCCAAGGATCCCCCAAAGCAGACATGAGGAACGGGCAGCAGGGAGGGCAGACCACAGGGCTAGCGTGGCAGGTCAAGGGCAGCAGATATATCTGTCATTGTCATGAGCATGACACATAAAGTCAGACCACCAGCCTAACTCTCTTTTCAAAAACAGGAAAGCCCTAGAAGTCTCACTGCCGCCCCCACCCACCCTCTCAGCTGTGGGCATCAGCAAAGGTAGCAGGAGAGTTGGGTGTTGAAGAGGAAAGCCTGCACTGTTAAGGTACTGCCACCCTTCCTGAGGTACAAAGTCAGGTCTACAAAAGGCAAATCCTATTGCTGCCTTTCTTAGTTTACCCCTTATGCTGTAGTTGTTGTTATTGGTGGTGGTTTGGGGTTTTGTTTATTTTTATTTTCTGAGCCAGGTCTCACTACATAGCTTAGGCTGCCTTGAACTCACTAGGTAGCCCAGGGTGGCAATCCTCCTGCCTCAGCATCCTAAGTACTTGGATTACAGACATGCACCACCATGCTGGGCTTCTTAGTTTATCTTTTGCTAAGCACGAGGATTCCTAGAAATCCAATCAGATACTTCTCCTCCTTACTACTCTCAAAGAATCAAGTCACCCCTCACTCAAATCAGGTTCTCCTTTCCCCAGTAGATTACAATCTTCCTAGTGTTCAGTGACAGATGAAAACACAATGACAAAGACGATAGTTGATGATAACGAAACATTCAGCGCTCACCAATTTCTTACCGGTGTAGTGCCAATCTAAAGCTCTAAAGACTCTATCCCTGGTACCAGTCACTCAGGTGCGGAGAGGCAGAGCCTCGCCTGCCCCACCAGGGCCTTTCTAGGGTGGGAGGGTCCCCCCACCGTGCCTGCTCTATCATTTCTTGGATGATCCCATGACCTTGGTTTCCTCTCCATAATAAGGGGACTAAGAAGAGGGACACAGAACAGCTGTAAAACTCAAAAGCCCAGTCTTGGCCCAAACTGACCCTCCTTCACCTGCGAGTTCTTTGAACTCTCAAAGCCTGGACAGATGGCACCTGGGCATGATGCAGCTTATGAGGCCACTACGAAGGGACAATTAATCACCTCACACCACAGCCTCCTGAGCCCACACGGGAGTCCACTCAGCTGGGCAGACACTGTTGTGTTAGGTCGGCAGTGGCCACGGAAGCGGAAATCAGACAAGATGCAGCCTCCAAGTAATGACAATTTTCCTACATCGGGAAGGAAGCAAATGCGGTTTTCGGAATCCTGTCAACTTTCACCCAAAGTGCAGCTAGAAGGAAGGAGCACCCTGGCCCAGAGTCACGAGAGAAAGCCATGCAAGAGATGCAAAGAAAGTGGACACATGGCAGTGTGACGACAGCTAAAAAATAATCTTAACAAATGAAAGTGCCTTGGGGTCACTAGTTCAAAATCCCAGTGAATAAAGCATCTGGCTTTGTTGACTTTATCCCTCTCCCACCGCAATAGTTACGAGCCCAGATTCTAATGCTTCCAAGCATGAGAAGCTCACTATTTCTCTAAGCTCCATTGCTCAAGTTAGAAAGGTTCGTCTCAATCAGAGATAAATCTGGTAACTTCTGCCCAATCTCCATTTGCCACTTGTGATAAGAGTTTCCAGCCTTACAAATTCCCTATGATAAGCGTGATCAATATGTACATCTAAATTGTACCGATACATTTAATTTTCAAACAGTTTCCAGACTTGAATGCATTTCAGAATCAAGAGGCACTTTCAAAAAGCATTAAGAATTCATCCGCCCCGACACCCCGTACAGTGTACATCTGAGGGCTCTGATATTCTCCCCTGTCCCAGGCCGAGGTCCATGTCCCATAATGGGATAATGAGTGACTGTGTTCTAGTCAACACATTTCAGGTCATTTTTAGCACTCCTCTGCCTGCGGCATCTGAAAGCCAGTAGTGAAAGACATGAGGCCAAGTGTGTCCCCATGAAATAATCCTGTGTTGCCCCAGGGTGCTGGGAGCTGGAAAGGCAAAACCCTGCACTTGCTGGAAAGAGATTTAAGTTGTTGGAAACTATCAAAGCAGAATCATTCAGGCTGAACCTCAACTTTTTGTTGCTGGTGGTGAAGTAAGCGCTTTGGTACCAGGAAAAAAAAAAAATCAGGGAACAAATCCTAGCTATAGCACTCGAACAGGCATGCAACACTGGAAAAGTCACACTCCTGCCTGAGTCCCATCCAGTTTCTTCACTATTACATGGGACAAAGAGCCCTACACAGTCAGAAGCACAAGTGAGAATGTCAGACCTAAAGCTCTGTACTGCCCACCTCTCCACCCTTTCTCCTCTTTCTGCTACATTTGCTTCTGCCAAGCGGCGCCCTCTGAGGAGCAAAGACAGTTCTCAACCCCACTTAGTCACACTCAAGCGTTAACCGGGCAGACTGTGTTGCCAGATTCTCTGTCTCTTATCTGGGCCAAAGGAGGAAATGAGAGGTTCCACCAGGCTGGAGAGAGAACCCAGAGACAGGCCAGAGCAAAGGCTTGAGTCTGGGAAAGCTGCCTGCCTGCCCTAAAGGCAAGGGTGTGTTAGAGAGCAGGAGATAGCAGCTTTAGTTGAAATCTACTCAGCACAGTTGAGAAGATTAGAACTTCCTCATTAGGTAATTTCAGTCCATTTCATTTTCCCCATAGCACACCAGTCCTATCCCTTTAAGGGCCCAAGTTTCCCTGCCGGATCAGCACTGAAGGAGGGGAAATTGCAAAGAGCAAAAGAAAAGATAGATAATAAGAAATAAGGAGATAAATTTTCCCCAAGTGAGAAGGGGAAGAGATGGGGGAGGGGAAGGAAAGGGGATACAAAAAGAGAATTAAGATGTGTCATGTACAAGTACCAACCAACTCCACACAAGCAATGTAAACATTTTGCACTGCAAACATGCGCTTAAAAAAAAAAAACCACTGGAAGGAATGGAGCAAGCAAAAGGTCATTCTCAAAGAGGCACCTCCCTCCAAGTGTACAGGGGCAGGTTGGCTCAGGCACAGGCTCAGGCCCCAAGCAGGGAGTCTATAAGGACCAGACAGGGACTCAGAGAAACTGAGGTCTGTCGGGGAGCAGCCCTGGCCAAGGCCACACAGTTGAGACTAGAATCTGTACTACCCACACGAGGGACAACCCTGCTGGCGCAGAAGGGTCCACTTCATTTCACAGGCC